GTAGGAAAGCAAAATGTAAGAAATACGAACTATCACAGATATTGTCCTCTGAAAATGGATTATGAATCAGTCTGTTCTTCAAATGCAGGAGCCGTTCACAGAGGGGATCTCAGCAGAGCTCCAGGACAGAGGAGATCGACCCAGCTCTATTCAGGAGCTGTTTTTCAGGAGGATCCAACTCTGGCCACCTTGCCAGGTAGATGCAGGTTTCTTCTGAGAACAGTAGCGTTCCAGATCCATGCATTCAGGAGCTGTGTTTAATACCAAAAGCTGAGTCTGTGTGCACTTGAACACAATGTCCACCCACATTTGGCTTTCAAGATTGTGCTGGAATTGCCAATGAGACGATAGGCAGGAACCTTTTATTAGAAATGAAATTTAATTGTAGAAAGAGTTTAATATTTCTTAATACTATTAAGCAAAGTGCCTAAAATAGTTAGAAATGAAACCCATGAATTGAAACTATAACAGTGGGATTAAACATACCTAAGACGTTTTTATTTATTTTATTGAATATTTATGCCAGCCGTCTCCCTTGTAAGGTAACTGTAAGTATACCAAGAAAAATATAGCACATGAAGGATAAGCCAGTACGTCAACACTAAGTGGCTGTAACAATAAAACTGTTGTTCAACGTTGCCTGTGTTGCATTCTACAACCTGGAAGCAGCTAAGCCATGATTTGTTAAGCTGCAACTTCCCAGCCCCACGGACTATGTGGACAGGATGGCATGAATCCGTCCTGAAAGCAAATGTTCATTTGGCTCTTGCAACTGTTCGTTTTATGTTGTGTGCATTAAGAGAAAGAACTTTCAACTGTTTCCTGGGATTGTCTACTTTTTTCTCTTTCTAGAGCTCTGATTCCTTTAAGGGGGTGATTGTGGACTTCACGGATGAGGAATGGAGGCTGCTAGATTCTGGCCAGAAGTCCTTGTGCAGAGAAGTCATGCAGGAGATTTCTATCAATATGGCTGCTCTGGGTAAGGCCAGGCTGTTCAGTTCGCTATAAGGTCGTGGCAGAAACATTCACTATAGAGTTGAGAAATATCCTAGATACTCCATGGAAGTGACTGAATAGATTGACTTTAATCTATTTTTTGAAATAATGAAAACATTATATAATAGAGCCTCCTAGATAACAATTTGCAGATATCACATCCTGGCTAGACAAATGGATTGTACTAAACCTGGAATGCAGATTGGTATGTTTTTGATGTTTGTAATCAGAATATTAATTTTCATTTTTCCCATGCAGATGATGTGTTTGTGAATGAGAACAACAAGGAGGTATGCATGCCTCTAGAAACTATGGAGAATAGCTCCTTCACTTCTACTTCACCAAAGAAATGCGAACCACATACCTCTGTAATATCTTTGGTGGATTCCAGCCTGAGCAGAAAGAGGAAAGGCTGCATGCAGTATGGAAAGAGTTTCAGTACGAAAAGTAATCTTAATGTCCACCAAAAGATGCACACTGGGGACAGACCATATAAATGCATGGAATGTGGAAAGAGCTTTATTCAGAAAGCAATTCTTAATCATCACAAAAGGATCCACACTGGGGACAGTCCGTATAAATGCATGGAATGTGGAAAGAGCTTTACCCGGAAACAAATTCTTAATCATCACAAAAGGATCCACACTGGGGACAGTCCGTATAAATGCATGGAATGTGGAAAGAGCTTTACCAGGAAAGGATATCTTAATGATCATGAGAGGATCCACACTGGGGACAGACCATATAAATGCATGAAATGTGGAAAGAGTTTTACCCAGAAAGGACATCTTAATACTCACAAAAGGATCCACACTGGGGACAGACCTTATAAATGCACGAAATGTGGAAAGAGTTTCAATTGCAACAGTAATCGTATTTGTCACCAAAGGAACCACACCGGGGCGCGACCTTATAAATGTATGGAATGTGGAAAGACCTTTACCCAGAAAAAAAGTCTTAATCATCACAAAAGGATCCACACTGGGGAGAGAACATATAAATACATGGAATGTGGAAAGAGCTTTATTCGGAAAGAAAAACTTAATCATCATGAAAGGATCCACATAGAGGAGAGATCTTATAAATGCATGGAATGTGGAAAGACCTTTAGCTGCAAAGGAAGTCTTAATCGTCACAAAAAGATCCACACTGGGGACAGGCCGTATAAATGCATGGAATGTGGAAAGAGTTTTACCCAGAAAGGAGATCTTCATAGTCACCAAAACATCCACACTGGGGACAGACCGTATAAATGCATCGAATGTGGAAAGAGCTTTATTCAGAAAGGACATCTTAATCGTCACAAAAGGATCCACACTGGGGACAGACCGTATAAATGCATGGAATGTGGAAAGAGTTTTACCCAGAAAGGAGATCTTCATAAACACAAAAATATCCACACTGGGGACAGACCATATAAATGCATGGAATGTGGAAAGAGCTTTACCTGGAAAGCAAACCTTAATAGTCACAAAAGGATCCACATTGGGGACAGACCATATAAATGCATGGAATGTGGAATGACCTTTATCTGGAAAGAACAACTTAATAGTCACAAAAGGATCCACACTGGGGACAGATCACATAAATGCATGGAATGTGGAATGACCTTTACCTGGAAAGGAAGTCTTAATCGTCACAAAAGGATCCACACTGGGGACAGTCCGTACAAATGCATGGAATGTGGAAAGAGCTTTACCCAGAAAGGAAATCTTAATCTTCATGAAAGGATCCACACTGGGGACAGACCATATAAATGCATGGAATGTGGAAAGAGTTTTACCCGGAAAGCAAACCTTAATAGTCACAAAAGGATCCACACTGGGGACAGACCATATAAATGCATGGAAGTTGGAATGACCTTTATCCGGAAAGAACAACTTAATAGTCACAAAAGGATCCACACTCAGGACAGACCGTATAAATGCATGGAATGTGGAAAGAGTTTCATTAGCAACAGTCATCTTACTTGCCACCAAAGGATTCACAGTGGGAAGCTGCCATATAAGTAGATAGACTGGAAAAAGCTATACTGGGAAAGCTCATCTTAATTGTCATGAAAGAATCCACACTGGGGATAGACCGTATTAATGCACAGAGTGTGGAAATAGCTTTACTTGGAAAACACAATTCTCATAAAAATCATATAAATCCATGGAGGGTAGAAAGAGCCTTTCTGAGGAGAAAGGCAATAGTGGCCACCAAAGTATTGGATGGTAAATAATAAATATAATTATATTATAAATTCAACACGTAAAGGAGAAAAGTATAATTCCAAGAAATATTTTTAGCTTATTCTTGATCTTTACTTATACCAATTCTTGATAAATTGGTTACGGGCCATCAAATGAGCAGGGGTCTGCAACCTTAAATACTCAAAGAGCCACTTGGACCCGTTTCCCAGAGAAAAGAAAACACTGAGAACCGTAAAAGTTGTGCCTGTACGTGCAAGGGGGAGGGGGAGAGCTTGATTGAAGAGTTTAATTAAAAATAAATAGGGGCTGTTGTGCATGAGTTCTCTCACTCCTCTCCCTCTCTCCCTTTCTCTGTTACCTCTCTTTCTCACACTTTCCCTCTCCCTCTTTCTTTCCTCCCCCCTCTCCTTTTTCTCTTTCCCTCTCCCTCTTTCCCTGTTTCTCTTTCCTCTCCTTTTTCCTCTTTTTCCTCTCTCCTCTTTCCTCCCCCTCCTTTTTCTCTCCCTCTCTTTTTCTCTCTCCTCTCCCTGTCCCTCTCTTTTTCTGTCCCTCTCTCTCCCTCTTTCTATTTCTCTTTCCTCTCCCCCTCCCTCTCTCTTTCATCTCCCCCTCTCTCTCTCCAATCTTCTGCTCACCTGGCAAGCTGACACACATTATTGGGCTGGCTCTCTCCTGCCCTTCCTGCTTCCTGCAGAGACGCAGCAAAGGGAGGAGCCCTGGCCAATAAGCTTGTCACCATGTCGGAACAGCGTGAGGCCACTCTCTTTTTTACACACACAGAGAAGGGAAGCAGGGAAGCGTAAGTGCCTGTGTCTCTACAAATGGCAGAGGAGGCTGGGAGCCGCAGGAGAATGCTGAAAGAGCCATGGGTTGCTGACCTGTGGCCTAGAGAGCAAGTCCCGTCTCCAGGAAGGGAGCATAGAGGAAAGGGAGCTCTCTGCTCCAGCCATCCTGCCAACCTCCAGGGCGAGGCAGAGGGTGAGGCTTCCCCTCCTTTGCAACCGCGGATCCCACCTGCCTTCCCCTCCCGTCACCCTCCCCGATTTCCACGAAGCTCGCAAGGAAAGGTGTCAGCTGAAAAAGGGGCTACCAGGCGCCTTGCGACGTTCAGCCCCCGATCCGTCCGTCCTACGCTGGACCCAGAGACCAAGGAGAGTCCCTTTGATCACAAGAAAGGAACACATCATAGAATGCAGACTACGGTATACAGTATATTTTGAATAGAATTTATTATCTTCAGTTAACATTACAAATACGCAGAGAAATTCAAGCATGGGATGAGAATAAGGTACTGGTTGCGCTGAGCAGGGCTTATGTACATTTGAAGAGAAAAATCACGACTGCAATCTGGATGTCGTGTCTGATTAACGAAACACTTAAAAGGATATATAAAATAAAATGACAACATCTATATCAAACAGAATGTGCCACTAAATTGGGCAATATCCAGAGGTTCACAAAATACATCCTGAGGGAAAATATAAGGGGGGGGGGAGAAACTTTGTATGGCAACTTAGTTCACCCAAGAACCAAGGAATATGGAGCGTCAAATGGGAAGAACCGAGAAAAAAAACCACAATATCCTGCCAAAGGACAGGGACAATTGATCAGCAGGATAACCTTTCTACTCCACAAAATAAGAAAAGAGAAAGAATGAAAATAATTTTGAGGTTTTAAAAAAGTTATATAAATGGCCAATGGGGCTATAACACTAATAAACAAGATGTTAAAAAATACATAGAAGGTGAAACATTTGATAAAAAAATCAAGTTTTGAGATTGAATAAAAAGTAAAGTACTTGGGTGTTAATCTGAGAAATATGAACTGTATGTTGTTTCAAAATAATTATGTTAAGGATGAGTTGAAGTTGATAAAGATATGGTAAAGAGGGAAAAGCTACAATACCTCTGAAATAAGAAAAATAAAAATTCATGGCAGAGGAATAAATAATCAAAGTACAAATGCATGATTTAGCAGGGGGCTTCCCTCTTCTCAGCCACTCCTCAGCCAAAGCCCACTGGAACCACCAGAGTTGAG